ACTTTACATATGGATGTGCACTTCACATCTGGATGTGATCTTTACATATGGATCTGAACTTTATATCTGGATGTGACTCTTACAGTTGGATCTGGTTAGTGAGGACATTTCAGGGAACCATAAAATACAGTATATAAAAAGTTATTGAAGCAGATCAGAGCAGTTGTGCTTCAGACAAAAACATGCATGTTAGGCTGCTTTCAGGCCCAGGCCTCCCTTGCAAAAGAGATGTGTTATTTCCTGGTTAAATAAAGATTAAATAAATAAATTAAATACCATACCATTTTATTTATAGAGCACTTAAAACAGCGACAAAGCCAACCAAAGTGCTGTACAGACAGAACAACAGGTAACACACAAAGCAAAATACAAAATGAGGTAAATCAGAATATAGACATAAAAACGATGCAGATAATAAATATGACGACAAACCAGTGTGGAACAAAAGACCACCAGTAAGTTAAACCCCATCTCCTAATAAGATAAACTCATCTTTTAAGTTAAATAACAAACTAAAAACTATCAGTGGGGTCAGACAGAAACCACCAAATCGTCCTCTGTTGTGGACCATGACAAAACGCAAACATCTGATTGGACCTACTGAGATGATGGTAATGGATCCTGTAAGGTGAAAGCAACCGAGATGCAATTCAAGCCTCTGATTCTGGTTCTAGAGACCTTTTAGTCAGTTTTAGAAACTCTGTGGGATATTTTCTTCTACAATATTGTAGTGTCCCCAAGTGTTTTTAATGGTCCGTTTTGCTGGTTTCGGTGGTATTCTTTGTGATTTTGGTTCTGGTCTTCTTTTATAAAAGCATCCAACTGGAACCCTTAAACTTTTCCATCTTAGGACCTAAACTGAAGAGACCTACTGGGCTGATGTGCCCTACTTAAACCTCAGCTCCATCACTCCTGATGTGATGTTTGTTGCTCAGGTGGAAGTAAAGAGGTCTGTCCACACAGAGCTGTCAGACTTTAACTTGAAGTTGACACAAGAAGGTCCACAACAGAACTCAACAATCCAAATCCTTTTCCACATAGACCCAAAGAACACCCAGTCTCAAAACAGAAACTGGGACCAAAGCTGCAGAACTTTGTGTTTATAGATTTAACGACTCTAAGCTGGAAGAATAACCAGGTCAGATTACTATCTGACAACCGGAGTGAAAACACTTATCTCTGATGAGTGGACAGTGTCCATTTCCTCCTAATGGACACAAGGAGCACCAGCAAACATCAGTCAGTGTGCCCCACTCTGTCCTCCCCTGGGAACACAAACCATTAGCTTGAGGTTCCCACCACACACACACACACACACACATACACTGATCAATAACTGGAGGGAGCTGACTTCCTGTCAAACAACTGATCAATATTTAATGTTAGCTAAACTTGGGCTCAGCAGCTCTGAACACTGATGAGGAGCCACGGATGAAACATCACACCTCCCAGTTGTGGCTGTAGGTCATGTGACTGATTGAATCTAATTATGATCCATCTAAACTTTAAATGCTGTTTCTACTGTGAAGTTACGGAGCTTCGACGAAGACTCGTTTTTACCACTTGGGGACTTTTTTCATTGTTTTTACTGAATTTTACGTTATTTAATGTTCTGCTACCAAAAAACAGAACTGACTGAGACAAATATTCTGATATGTTTTCATGTGTTTCCAAATCTGAGTTGAAAAGTGAAAATCAGGAATGAAACGAGCAAATACTAATTAGCTGACAGGATCTTCTTCCTGTCTCGACAGGATGTTGTCATCTTCAAACACTTCCCTGCCCACATCCTCCAGACCCTGTCCACTTCACACAGTGACCTCTTACCCCCAACACGTCACCATGGAAACATACTGGAGAGAGGTGGAGAGCATTGAGGAAGAGAGGGAAGGAGAAGAGGAGGAGGAAGAGGAGGAAAGGAAGAGTATAGATGGTGGGTCAAAGGGACAGCAAAGTGAGACGTGGTCTTTCTCTCCAACTTCTCACATCTTTGTGTCATGCAGAGGTGGAGCTGGAGGAGGTATGGCTGACAGAAGCAGGATTATCTTCCCTGGTGATGGGTTCTTCATCAACAGAGGCAGGTCCACCGCCAGCTGATGCGGTACTGTCTACGCTGACGCGACACCAAGCTGCCACGGTAAGGAAGAGGCTGGACAACTACAACGAGACGCTGAAGAAGAGAAACAGGCAGCCAATAAGAGACGTTCGGGACATCTTCACCAAGGTGGGACACAAACACAATGTTCTGTCAAATGAAACCAACTGTACAACCATGTTCTGTCTCTTTCAGTCTGATGTTGATTCAGCAGAAACATGCTCCTCCTCTCGTCCAAATCATGCGGAGTCATCTCCAAGTCGATACCATACAACAACCAAGACCATCCGTCGCAATGCAAACAGAGGTATTTCTTAAAGTGTGCATCAGTGGGTTGATGGGTGGTGATCTAAGCAGACCTGAAGGACATGTTGGTGAAGGAAACGGAGGGAATGAGGAAGTGATGGGTAGGTTTGGTATCCAGGAAAGAAACTAGGAAGGACAGATGGTGGTGGATTTTGCCAAGAGAATGGAAATGGCTGTAGTCAATACCTATTTCCAAAAGAGGGAAGAACATAGAGTGACCTATAAGAATGGAGGAAGGAGTATGCCGGTAGACTATATTCTGTGTAAAAGAGGAAACCTGAGGGAGATTGGAGACTGTAAGGTTGTGGCAGGGAAAAGTGTGGTCAGACAGCATCGGATGGTTGTGTCTGGTTCTTTAGACTGAAGAAGTCTTTTGGATAAAAGACGAAACATTTCAACAAAGAAAAATCCATTCAGAGGACCTGACTCAACCATGTCAGATGTGGACCAGGAAGTGGGAAAGATTAGCGAGGGTGAAGTCTGGAAAGCTCTCAAAAGAAAGAAGAAGAGGAAGGCAGTAGGACCTGATGATGTACCAGTGGAGGTTTGGAAATGTCTTGGAGAGATGGCAGTGAAGTTTTTGTCTCAAATATTCAATGGCATATTTGAGGGTGAGAAAATTCCTGAGGAATGGAGGAGAAGTGTGCTGGTGGTCATTTTTAAGCACAAGGGTGATGTACAGAGATGTAGCAACTTATTACAACAAGAGCTGATTGCGGGCCCCAAGCTACTGCAGCTAGCTGTTGCTGTGGGCTTCAGGCCTTATTGGACTGCAGGTCCGCCCCCAGCTCATGCTGTCCCCCAGCTCGGACCTCCCTCATAAGTGGCAACTCACCTATCAATAAATCAAGGAACTTGAATTAGGTTTTACCAATTGTATTAAAATCAAGGCAGGAGAAGGTTACAGTTTACAGCGCCGACCGGTCTGGTACAAAACACGAGATCAGGAACAGGAAGGGGCTGGATGTCTCGTGGCATTACAGATTTATACAGGTCCTTCTCAAAAAATTTGCATATTGTGATAAAGGTCATTATTTTCCATAATGTAATGATAAAAATGAAACTTTCATATATTTCAG